AGCTGAAAGACAAGGAAGTTGCCTTTTGGACTGAGCTCAGGGCTAAGGAGGTAGCGAAAACACCCACCCAGAGAGACCATGTTGAGCTCTGATCAGGAAGCCAGTGAGGTTTGAGAGCCTGGAGCCATGAAAGGGCTATTCTACAGAGACGTTTGCTTGTTTGCTTGTTTGTTTGCTCTCCAAAACAAGGCTTCTTACTGTTGAGTGTGTAAACTCTTTGAGATATTGTATAAACAATAAGAGGGAGATGTTGGTCTTTGTGCTCTGAGTTTTGTATGTGTGTTTTTTTTTACAACAATATAAATCATAACTGTAAATCAAGCCAGGGTCTGTGTCCTTGAATCAAGATGAATGTATGTGCCTTCCAGAGGGAAGTATGGAGAAAGATCCAGCATCATGAGATGCCACTTCTACAGGCGGTGGATAGATGATTGACCATCCTGAATCATAAAGGAAACAAGCAGACTGTGTGATAGTCGAGATGTTGTCATGCCACTTTTTCCTGGGAAACATGAACAAAGCTATTCACTCCAGATAGGGCAGGAATGACAGATCAAAATAATGATTCCACCAAAGTCTAGCTTACTGGACTAATGAGTTTATTGGCCTTACTTACATGAGTGAGGGGGTTTCTTACCAGTTTACTGAGAAAGAAGCCGCATCACGAAAAAGTCCTACCTGAGCATGGTTTATAACTATGAGGAGTTGCTGAGATGGAATCCCAACCCTAGCCCTCTACCCTATGTTCATGCTAACACACTGTTGGATGACATACAACTTGGACAGAATATTATACAGCCGGGATGGGATGACAAAGGGACGGACTAGACTCTGGTGAGGAACAACTATGAGGAAACATTGACAGCTGAATTTTGTGAGTCTCTTATAGGTAATCACAGCTGTTCTGGTTAAGATGTTACATTTAAAGAGATCTCTGGACACTGGCTCACTAGCTCCCTTTAGATGTAAGATGTTTTGATGAATGTGAGGAGAAGGGCTACACACCACATGCAGCCTTAACAAGAGAGTACAAAACCCCTGAGAATCACAGACTCCAGGAAGAGTCTGCACGTCCTAGGCTTTGCTCTGTGCATGTCTGTCAGGTATTCAGGGTAACAAGACTGGTACACAGAATGTTCCTGCATTTCAGGCACAGAGCACCTCACAGGTCTGTTTTCATGAATAAACAGAATTCTCTACCCACTGGGGAAAGCAAAAAAAAGGGGGGATGGGGGTTGTCACAGCTTTGGTGAAAAAAATATTTCAAATCCAGAAAAGAAGAGCTTTAAAATTCTACTCACCCATAGGTGGGGAGGAACTTGGAGGACTGGTGGGAAGGGAAACTATAATCAGAATATACGGTATGAAAATGATCTCCTTTCAATTAAAGAAAAAGAAAGGAAAGAAGTGGAGGGTGCATCTGTTTTGGAAGCCTGTGCCCTCTGCAGCACACTCTGTTCACATTCATCATTGTATTAAAAATGTCCACAGCTCAGATTCTGACCAGTGCTGGCCATTTCAAAAGTGAAACATGGACCCTCTTATATCTAGAAAAATCTATTTGTTTTCAATTTGGCAGGTGGGCCTTATTGCAGATTGTAACAATCTGTCCCTGGGAACAGATCTAGTTTACTTTTAGAAGTCTAGTGGAGAGAGTGACTGAGGTAACAAGATATTCCTTGTAAGACCTAGTCTAAGACATTTTTCTAGTTTCTTCCTGCACAAAACTGAAGTAAATAAAACATTGCAGAAAAACATCATCTACTCTGGAGTGGTTGTTATGGAGCTTACAACAGTAACTTCTTCCATATGCTACCAGCCATACCTGCAAGGGGAGTATGGGACATCAACTGTGACTCACAATCCTGTTTCCCAGAATATTCTTTGTGCTGTTCACAGCAGGATGAAACCATCAGCACTCAAAGGCATAAAAACTTCCCAGAATTCCTTGGGGAACCTAGAAGCAAAGCATAGAACATGGGAACATCTTCCAGCAAGAAGGCCATTATAGGTTTGGATTCCACACTGGCAGTGGGCAATCCACTGGAGTATAGTCAACCTACCAGTGACCACACCCTCAGGCTGACTCTCCCTGCCCTAGCAATCGGAAACTTTCAAAAGGGTCTGAGCTAGCGGAGGAGGCTCATGATTCCTCCCCTCCACACTAGAACGTTGATGGGTTTGCTCTTGTGCAAGCAGCTACAGTTGTTGTGACTTCTTGAGTGCATTGGTCCTATCATGGAGAAGATACATGGCTTTTCTCGAATTCTCCCTGACCTCTAGTTCTGCAATCCTCCCTCGCCTTCTTCTACAATGATCCCAGAGCTGTTGGAGAAGGTGATGTGGACGTTCTTTGCACCTGTTGCTCTTGAAAAGACCTGTGTTCAGTTCCCAGCAACCACATAGCGAAAAAATAACTGTCATTTTGGCTCTAGAGAATTCATGTCCTCTTCTGGCCTCTACAGGCACTGCAGACACGTGATACACAGAAACACATTCAAGTAAAAAAATCTTACACATGCAAAATAAAATGAGCAACCCTCAAAGAAAAGTACAAATTTAGAAGGCAGTTTGATATTATTTTCATTTATCAGATAATAGTAATAAGTTTACTCTGGGGGCCTCTGAGTTCTCCAATCATGGGTTCTTGGTCATATTTAGAGTAGCAGTTATGAGTTTCCTCCTGTGAAACAGACATTCGTTCTTGGTCAGATTTAGAATAGCAGTTATGAGTTTCCTCCTGTGAAACAGACATTCAATCAAGTTGAAAAGCAGTTGGTAACTCCTGTAACATTTGTGCCACTATCGAATCTATGGGTCGTTATTGTAGTTCACAGGGTTCACAGCTGGGTAAGGTTGTTCATAAATCCACCCACCCCAGCAGCCCACCTACCTCCTTCCTAGTACCATGAAAGCAAGCCAGTAGCAGGGGGAGCTTCCTGCTTAGTACCAAGTTGATTTCCCTAGGCCCTGTGACTAAAGGATGTGGTGTCCTCAGCAGCAGGGCCTTACTGTAAATTTATGTTGGGCTACCAGCCCAGTGGCAAGAGCCTGTACTACCAACTTGAGTGGAGAAATCCCTTATTTGGCATTGGGGTTTTATTTGGTAATTTATTGTTTCTAAGAAGAATGCTATTATCTATGTAGGGCAACTCCAACTAATATACTTTATAACATATATGCAGCTCACAAAATACTCATTTTACTTATTCAAAAATCTCTAGTATTGGGCTGGAGAGATGGCTCAGCCATTAAAGGCTAGGCTCACAACCAAAAATCTCTAGTGTTAATTACCCCTACTCCCAATCCTGTCTCTGCCCTATCCTCTCATCCTTTTCTCCCACTTAATCCCCTCCCATTATTCCCCTTCCCTAACCCATATTAACTGTGTTTGATTATCTCCTCTCCCATTAAGATCTTCCTTCTCTCTCCCACCAATGGGTATTTTTCTAGTTTTCTGAATTCTGTAGGTAGTCCAAGTTAAACTGAGATGTACACCTAAGTGACAACATATGGCATTTGTCTTTCTGGATCTGGGTTACTTCATTCAGAATGATTATTTCCTGCTTCATTTCCCTGAAAATTTCATTTTCTTATAGTTGAATAAAATTCCATTGCATATTGGTACCTCATTTTCATCATCAACTCAAAATTGATGGGCATATAAGCTATTGTGAATAAAGCAACTATGAACATAAATGAGGGTGTGTCTGTGTAGTATAAGATGGAACGTTTTTTGGCTATATAACAAGTAGTTTACCTAAAGGCCACATGGCAGATATGTTGCTAATTTGGGGGGAAACAGTGTGCTGACTGAGGAAGAGGCCTTCAGGGAGGCAGGATGGTGGAATATACGTGGTATGAAAATAGAAGAGGGCACTAGCTGGGAAAATTAGAGAACTAACAAAAATGAAAGGGGTGGGGCAAGAAGTACAGAGTGGGGCAGGACAACACTTCTAAGATGTTCTAACCACACAGCTAAGACTCTAGTGACACATGTAAGAACATGCCATAATGAAGCCCATCATTTCTAAGATGCTCTAACCACACATCTAAGACTCTAGTGGCACATGTAAGAACATGCCATAGTGAAAGCCATCACTTAAAAATGTTCTTTCAAAAGACATTATACACCTTAGAACTCTTAGCAAGAAGCTTGCTTTTTAACAGCTAAAGCATTAGAAATCATGCTGTGTTTCTTAATTTACTTTCACTGGCATGTGTGGAAACCAGAAAAGGTTCAGTCTTCTACCCAAGAAGACTAAACTCACAGATATCTCAGCAGCTAGATGCAGGTTTTACTTTCCCACTTTCTTTCCTGTGGAAAGAAATGCCAGACATTTTAGCAAATGCTTAAGAGTGAACAGATATTTAGATGGAGAGTGATTAGAATACAGAGGGATGGAGTCGGTTCACGTGGGAACAGCTCTTCCCCAAATGTCTGCTGTACAAAGCAGTGTGTTCTCTCATAAAGTGGCATGCAGTAACACATAGGAGCTCTTACCAGGAATATTAAAGGCAATTCAGACACTAAAGGAGACAGGATAGAGTTTAAAGTTGCTTTCAAGTATGAGAACTTAGAACTCTAGGAAATACAGACGCAGGAATGTTAAATGGTAGATACAAATTTTGGAGCTGAGATGTTTGGAGGCCTTGATTTGTTCTAAAATCTCCAATCCTTTTCTGGGGATGTCAGATCCAAGCTTCCCCTGCTTGAAGGCATCTGCCTGCTCTGCTAGTCTCTGCCTTTGGGAGGCCCACAGACCACTGAGGTTTGACTGGCACAGGGACAAACCTTATGTAAGAAGTCCTTGGCTTAGTTTATGGGCCTCTGTTATCTGAGAGTTGGGTAATAACTGTGCCCATAGAGAGTACAGAGTAGGTGGGCGTGGCTTAGCGGTCTCTCCCACAAGACACCCGGAGAGCTCATGGTAGGGGATTTTCTTCGGGTTATTTTATGCAAATTGGCAGAGGGGGCAGGATTTCCGGGGCTGGTGCATAGCTGTGGGGTAAGATCTGCAGCACCAGGCACTTCACTGGACTGCATAGTGAGGTAACTGTCCTTTCATGATGTGGCTCTGAGCTTTCATCCTGACCTTTCTCACTGCTTGTCTGTCTCAGGGTGAGTATGCTCAGATGAAAGTACTAGTTACACATTTGAAAGCCTTTACCTTGGCCCTGGTTTATGGAGATGCATGTGAGCAATGACAAAACAGGCCCAGTTTCTCTGAGGTGTTTGTCTTTTCTGTTTCAAACATCTTAGATACCGGGTGAGGGGGCGGGGCGGGCGGCAAACATCCTGAGACCCTCAACTCCAGATCAGAGGCAGAGGAGGGCATAGATAACCTCCTACCTTCACAGGGGGAAGAGTTAGTTTACCTCCTAGTCTTAGTCTAGGTCTCAGGGAGTATGGAGAAAAGACGAAACAAAGTATTGAAAGCGTAAACAGTAGTGGCAAAACACAGGGGTAAATCCTAGCTCCATGTACTGAGCTGTGTGTTCTTGGGAAAGGTACTACACTTTGTAGTCTCCAGACTTGCCTGTCTCTAAAGGAAAGATGACAACAACATCGTCCTTATTTAACTACATGAAAGTGAAATGAGTGGTTGTGTCCATAGCAGCCCAGGGTGTAGCCTGCTCTAGAGGAGATGTAGAAAGGGAATGATTTAAAATGCAATGTGTTCGTAGATAATTTGACATGTAAAATTATGCCGAGAGCAACAGGCTGTTTGAAAGATGGTTTATTACTGAGGAAAGGGATACACCAATGTGGCGGAACGCAAGGGAGGCACTGGGGTCAGTCAGAAGGTTGAGGCAGAGTGGAAAAGGGTGGTAAAGGTCTTTGTCATGATTTTCCCTAGAAAGAAGAAAGGGAACAGAGAACAGTGGTGTGGGCTTGACTAGGTAAAGGTTATTTCAGGGGGTTCAGGGATGTAAAGGCTGTGCCTGGTTTTCCGGTACCTAGTGACCAAGACAGGTCAGTGGTAACCCAGGGTAGGAGACCCAGATGAGTATGTGCCTACAATGGTTGGACCCCAAGAGTGACAGTTCACCCCAATAAACAGAGCTTCAAATGTCAACTCAACAGGTATAGAAATCACATCCATGGTCAGTACAGGGGTCCAGTGTGGGCCTAGGCAACCATCTGTGCTATTCTGTGGAGAGGGACTGAGGTTTCCAGGGGAATATACTTACCCAGGGCCTTCTGGAATCATGCCCGGCTCTGTCTCTAGCTGCAGAATCTACCATATGCTTCCTCATTAAGGACAGTGGTAGTACTGACATTCCTAGACTTTATCTTCTCTCTGTGTGACATTTTGAGAGGCTGGGAGAAGAGTGTGAAGCAGAATGAGAAAGGGTTCAAATTCAGAGCTGAACATTCCTGCGCTGCTGTTTTCCTTGTCAATGACCACCTCATTTCTGTCTTTGGGAAGTTCATCCAGGATGCTTACAATTCCTGATTCCTCATTTATAATATGGCCTCGACAACCCCTGTCTATCAAGGCTTTGGTGAGAAAAACTGTACAAGATTTGGAAGGTACATCTCTTACATACTAGGTGGTCACTATGCACACATTCCGCAGCACATAGCTGGCAGCTTCTGTAGCTCCATTTATGCCTCCTGTTTCATATGTCCACTTTTCTACTCAGGGCAACCTAGTTTCCACACACCTCAATTGGGTGGCAGATGATTTTGAGTCACACATTTTGAGTTCAGACTTTAACCCCCTTTTCAGAACTTTGGGCAACCTTTCTCCTCTTCTCCCTGGTATCTCTAGTTCTGTGTCCTTCCTTCTCCTGCTATGGTTCTCAATCTCACATTTGCTCTTTCCTGTGTTTAAGCTTTGAATCTTTCCCACTTTTCCACACTGGTCCCCTAAGGTGCATGCATCTATGATGTGTACTCTCACTTTTAGGTGGGTAACTAAGTGCCCATCACTGCCCACTTTCCAGTACTGAAATGCCTCCGATGTCTTTATAATTCTTTCCTAATTATAAAATGGCATTCTAGTATAGATGTCTTGGATTCACACAAAATAGCAATGCTACTACCCATGGACATTTCAACACAAATGCTTGGAAGCAAATGTATCTCAGTAACTGGTGACCTAAAAGCATGAGATTTGTTATTACTAAACCAAGCCATGGACATGCTCAATTATATTTCATTTAAAAGTATTTCTTTTATTTTTTGAAATTATAATTATCACAAAAGATTTCCCTTCCCTTCCCGCCCTGAAACCATACTACATAACTCTCCTTGTCCTTTTTCAAATTCATAGTCTCTGTTTTGTTAATTTTTTCTTATACACACACACACACATTCCTACATACATAAGTACAACTAGATCAGTCTGTATAATATTACTCTTGTGTATGTTTTTAGAGCTGACTATTGATATTTGGTAGCCAATTGATGTGTCTGTCCCTTGGGAAAACTATTTCTCTCATTTTTAGTATTCCATAGTTTCCTGTAGTTCTTTTTGTAGGCTTGAGGCCTCCTGGTTCTCATATTTTATTGTTTGAGAATATCCATACATGCATATAATGCATTTAGTATTGAGGTAGACTCCATTCCCCATCCCTTCTCTTCCAATTTCTCTTCTATTACCATAAACATTTTTCTTCCCAGCCTCATTTACTTCTATAAAAATAGATCCAGTAGGTTCCATTAACTACTATTAGTACGTGCTTGTGTATAGATCATGAGTAGTAGCTTCTTAGGACCCACATTCTAAAGAAACCTGGCTAGTCCTCTCCAATTTCCAATGGTGCCTCAATTAGAAGTGTGACTTTGTGATGCCTTCCTTATCCACACCTGCGTGGTTGAGTGAAGAAGAGAAGACTAGGGTATGGTTTACTGGTTGTTCTGCACATTATGCAGGCACCACCCAGAAGTGGACAGCTGCAGTGTTACAGCCCCTATCTCGGACAACCCTGAAAGATACTGGTGAAAGTAAATCTCCACAGTGGGCAGAACTTTTGGCAGTACACATGGTATTACAGTTTGTTTGGAGGGAGAAATGGCTAGATGTGTGATTGTTCAATGGTTCAATGGATGGTCAGCAACTTGCAAAGAACATGATTGGAAAATTGGTGAGAAAGACTTCTGGGGAAGAAGTATGTGGCTAGGTCTCTCCAAATGGGCAAACATGTGAGGATTCTTGTGTCCCCATGGGAATGCTCAACAAAAGGTGACTTCAGCTGAGCAGGAGTTCAATACTCAAGTGTATTTGATGAGTCATTCTGTGGACAGTCAGCCTCTTTCCTCAGCCATCCCGGTCATTGTCCAATGGGTCCATGATCAAAGTGCCCACGGTGGCAGAGATAAGGGTTAACACATGGGCTCAACAACATGGATTTCCATTTATCAAGGCTAACCTGGATACAGCTGCTTCTGAGTGCCAGATCTGCCACCAACACTGAGCCCCAGATAGAGCACCATTCCTGACGGTTACCAGCCAGCAAATTTGCGGGGATGGGGGGCAGGTTGACTATTCTGGACCTCTTCCTCTGTGGAAAGGACAACACTTTGTCCTTACTGAAATAGGTACTTCCTGTGGTTATGGATTTGCCTTCTCTGAACATAATGCTCCTGTCAAAACCACCATCCATGGAAACCTGTATAAGGACATTGGAAGAAGAAAGGGGTGTATTCATCCTTTGCCTGCTTGCCCTCTCCCTGTCAGCATATCCATTTCTTCACTGGCATTGGAACCTACTTCTTTGGGATTCCAGTATATAAGGAAGATTAGCTGAGACACCCAGCCCCATGGGTCTGAGCAACTAATGGATTCTTGGACTTCCATTCACACCTAGCAATTGTTATATTGCAGACTGTTGTCATTCCAGTAAGATATGGATATGTATAGAAAGAAAGAGATTCTTTACCTAAGTTCTGTGACTCTAGTGAATCTTGACTAATATAGAGGGAGAATCAGGTTTCACCTGAGACAAGCTCTCTGATAGGTTATCTAATTCCAAATGATCAGCCCTAAATACAGGTATATGCAAGCACCACAAAATGATCTCAGTAAGTTGTGTGTGTGTGTGTGTGTCTGTTATGTAACAATAGTAAATAAAGCCAAAGAGATTATTAACTTGAAAGAGAGTGGGGACATGGAAAGATTTGAGGAGAGTGGAGAGTGAGGTGAACAAATTATGTAAATATAGTACCCATGTATGAAATATTCAAAAACCAAAAATTTAAGTTAAACATGTCCTGAATTGGAGATAACCTGTACATTTTTTCTAGAAAGTTTATCTTGATGTTATCAGTAATGGCACCAAATTTCATTTAATTTGCATAGCATGGAACTAATTATTGATAGAGTGACTTACACAAGATTCACTAAAAGACAAGTTCTAGTCTCAGCTTTTAATGTATCAAATCTAGATTCCTCTCTTCTTCTATGCCTATAAATTCTAAGAAAGATGTTTATATGTTGTCTGAATCCAAGAGGGTCTATATGGAGAATTGGAGGGAAAACGTTATATCCTATGAGGGCACCCTGGGAAACTGGTACATTTCAGTGTAATCAAGAGATGTCAGAGGTGGCCATGATCACTGCAGAGTATACTTTGGTCTTTTGAAGGAGGAAGCGATTTGTTCATTTAAGTCCCACAGGTGGTAGAATGCAGACAGTTGTGAAGCTTCAGGGAGATGAGGAAGGATTGTAGGCTGAGCAAGAATGCAGCCTGATGCCCACCCAGTCTTTCTTCCTTTGAATGATCATGCTCAGAGACCCCAAGAAGAATTTTCTAGAACCTTTTATGTTAGTGATCCTTGTCCACTAAATGAAACTTAATCCCTTAGGCAGATATTAGTGTCTTCCCTGACATGGACCTACCTTTCCATGATCATGCATCGTCCATCCTCTCTGACTGTACCTGGTGGTATTTATATGCTATTTGGCCTTCTTAGAAAGGTTCCATGGTTCCATGCCACACTGTCTCTAGTTCTCTTCACTGTTTATTAAAGCTTAATCACCACACTTTTCATCTTTCCTTGTCCCGCTTTCCCTCTACTGAAAGTCACAGTCCCTCCTCCTCGATGACATTATTCAGAAGGTCTCCCTTCTTCCAGATGCTGTGACTCCTTCCTCTTCCAGGTGACAGCCTCTTTATTGCCAGAATGGGGAGAAGTGTGTTTCTCCTTCCTATCCCTCTGAGATCAGCCCCGAAGGCTGGTGGCTAACCTCTGCTCATCCTCTCACCCAGCAAGCAGCACAGTGCTGAGATTCTCATAAGGGAATGCCTCCATGGATTTCTAAGAGAGAAAACTATGTTATGGTTCATTTCCAGCTTTTTCAACAAATTTGACTGGATGCTTTTTATACAACAAATCCAGTCTCCTCCTTCTATCATTCATTTCCCTGTTAGGAAAAAGTTGTCCTTATCCTTATTTCACATGAGATTAAGTGATGTCTTATAGGACTGAGTTGACTCACTCAAGGTCACATGCAAGAAAGTGACAGCCTACCTGGAATCCAGGTCTGACCTTTCTCTTCTAATGTGCCCTCATTTTCTCCATGTTTCACAGGGCACACATCCTCAGCACCAGTGGTGGACACTGTTCATGGCAAAGTCCTGGGGAAGTATGTGAGCTTAGAAGGATTCTCACAGCCTGTGGCTGTCTTCCTGGGAGTTCCCTATGCCAAGCCTCCTCTTGGATCCCTGAGGTTTGCTCCACCACAGCCTGCAGAGTCCTGGAACTTCGTGAAGAATGCCACCTCCTACCCCCCTATGTAAGCTTCTGGGGTGGTCCTCAGTCTCTTTAATTGTAGATGTCTCTCTCAATGTGGTGTAGGAGTGACTCAAAGTAATCTTCTGATTGTCTATACTTTCTTTTTAAATTTTAATCATTTTTATTATTGAAAGTAGATGTTTTTATTCAATATATTCCTATTATGGTTTCCCCTATTCTAATTCCTCTTAGCTGCTCCTCATCTCTTTTTTCCTCTGGATGCACATCCTTTCTGTCTCTTGTTAGAAAACAAACAGATATCTATGGAATAATTGTAAAGTGCAGTAAGATAAAACAGAAACAAGCAATTTGAAATAGGACAAAACAAACAAACATAATAAAAAGAGCCAAAGAAAAGTCTGAGTAACACCTACACATATAGATACAGAGACATATGCTCATACACAGGATTCCAATAAAAACAAAACTGGAAGCTAAAATATGATTTCATTTGAGGAGTAGTATGGAAACCTAATAGAGCAGAAGTTTCTTAAAGTAGATACATATATAAAGGTGATGTAAATGAAATTGCCATGTAACAAGGGAGACAAAGCCCAACTAGACATGTCTCATAACCAAACGAAGACTCCAGTTCCAGGAAGGTCACAGCTATTCAAGATGGTCTCTAAAAGGTCCAATGTGAACTGCAAAGCAACCCAGGCTGTTTGTTGCTCTCCACAAGCTGACAGGGAGGTCTTATTGCTGGAGAACACACCCACAAAACTCAGTGAACATGGGGAAGTTGAGGCTTCACCCCTTCAGACTAGTGTTCCTGGTAGTGGAAGGTACTCTGCACACTCTCAAAGGAGAGACGTAAACACCAATCCAGCTACAAACCCTTCCATACATTGGTGATCTGCCTGCAGAATATTTTGGTACAAAAGTGGCACAAAGCCTGTGAGAGTGACTAAGCAAGATCTGATTTAATTTCAGGTCTGCTCCATAAGATGGAACCCATAACCAACACTGCTTGGGTGGCCAAGAACCAGACACTAGATAGCCCAGAGACTTAAGGTAAAACCGGATACTACAGTTCTGCAAAAGGAATGTAGCAGTAAAATTATTCCTAATGACATTCTGCTGTCCTCATAGATCAGTGCTATTTGCTCAGCCATCATCATCAGAGAGGCTTCCTCCTGTAACAGATGGGAACAAATACAGAGACCCACAGCTAGACAATTTGCAGAGAGTGAGGGACTTTGGAATGCTCAAAGCTAAATGGAAAGTCTCCATAAAAACCCTCCCCTCAGAGCTCAGGGAACTCTGTGGAAGAGGAGGCGGAAAGTAGTGTAAGAGTCAGAGAGGATTGGGGACACCAAGGCAACAAGGCTTTCAGAACACAGATACGAACTGACAGAGACTTTGGCAGCATTAACAGGACTCAACAAGTCTGCACCAGATGGGGTCCTACAGTTGAAAGAGATGGACATCCTCCCCGTCACAGAAGCTATCTCCAATCAATAGCTATTAACAAATGAAAACACAGTCTCAATGAGGAAAGAAACCACTCTTAGGGGTAGGTCCCATGTCCATAGTAGATGGCCAGAAGCAAAAGGACTCAAGGTTCTTTGTCTCATAATGCTTTGTTAGAGCTTTAATTATTTAGTTAGTTTACCTTACAGGAGGACCTATGTGTAGATAGAACCTCAATCAGTGACCTTTGGAGGTTCTTTGACTCATAATGTTTTGTTAGTCATATCTATTTAATTAGTTAGTTTACCTTACAAGAGGATCTATGTGTAAATAAGATCTCAGTCAATGATCTCTGGAGGTTCTCTGTCTCATAGTGTTTTGTTAGAGCTTTTAAAATTTTATTTTAAGCTTATAGGACCTATATATGAATAAGACCTCAATCAATGGCATCTTTTAGAGGGTCTTTGTCTCCTATATGAACTTAACAACATCTTTGGAGGTCCTTTGTCTATACTTTCTCATGACATCCTTATGAACACTGTAGTACCTGAAAGGAATCCCAGTACTGTCACTGTCTTCTGGATCCTCTTATTTAGAAGATTCTTACTGAACCAGATATATTCTAGATTCCCAAACCCCATTAGGAAACAAAAAAAGCCTACTCTGATGGGCACAGCATATAAATTAACAAAGCAATTGTATATCATTATAAAATGTGCTAAATGTTTCATAAATATTTACTATATTTGGCAGGGCAAATACATCCTCATGTTATTAATTCTCCTATCTTGACCCATGGCATTGCTTGCGGACAGAGTACATAAGGGTATACTGAATAAGTGTCTAGTTACTAGGACACAACCTGGGCAATGTCTGGATTGACCTTGTCCATCTATTCAGTAGAGTATAGAAGCCTAAAGGATGCAAGTGGTCCCATAGCCACCTCCAGGGCACCCAAGGTACCTACAAGTGTCAGTTCAGGTATTTCTTCCTTAGCAATGCTTCTGAGGATCTAGTGCCCTGCGTTGCTTTTCTTTTTAAAATATTAGCTCTTTGTATGTTCTTATTGCCAATTAAATAGTATGAACATATTTCAGAAAAGCTCAGGGAAGCAAGGGCATAAATTAAAATTATGTACATTTCGGTAGTTAAACTAGCTGTTCACTTTGATTTATGTCCATTTTTTCTGTTGTATAACTTCAACTTTAAAATGAATCATATATACAATGCCACTCTACACAATTGAATATTAACCGAATGTTCATTAATAGTTATATTTAATTGGATATGTAACGTATTGATCAAGTGTCTTATTTGTGGACATTGAGTTATTTTTTAATCTCAGCATCATAAAGGATGATGTAATAAAAATGTAATAGATAAATCATTACACACAATCAAGAATATCCCAGGACAAATTCTAAGAAGTGACGTTTCTGAGCTAGTGTATCTAAGTAACTTTCATTTAATTTATTTCTAGAAATTCCCAAATATATGAATTTCTCTTTCCATAAAAATCTGAAAAAAATCCAAAAAGTCATTGCCAAATATTAAATGTACTGAAAGAATGATTTTATCTATTGAACAAACACAGTAGCAATCACAATAAGAATGTGACTTGGCATGTCTCTAAATACCAGTGAAGTTGATCCTTTTACCAATTTGGAACGCTGAATTTCTCTTCCTAGTCTGATGACTATTATGCCTCTTGTTCTTGGTGGTCTTAGGAAACTTCCTCAGTTATTGGTGCTGGCTGTACTCTTCCTACCATGTCAGGGGACACCTGTGTCACCCTGTCCTTCTGGTTGAAGGACGTGTAGAAAGAATCAGAGAATGTTTACCTGACTGAGGGAGGTGGACACCCTGCAGGTCACTCTGCAAAGCCTAGAACAGGGAAGCATTCCGTCTAGATGCTGAAGGAACTCTCTTCTCTTAGGGAAGTCCAGCACAGGAGCACATAGTCCCTGAGTCTAGAACATTCCCAGGCTCTGAGACAGGAAGAAGTACCATCTCATTCTCCCTGTTCAGAGTTAGGTGGCGTCTATAGAACCACAGGGCTCCCTTCAGGAGCCACAGAGACTGTCTTAGGCACTGATTCTCCATTAGCAAGCACAAACTCAAGCAGAGCAAGGAAGGTTGGCTCTCAGAGAGCATGTCCAGCTTTGATTTGCTATAACCTGGGTGTTCTCTCTCCTTCCCAGGTGCTCCCAAGACCCAGCGGCAGGACAGATGCTCTCAGCACTCTTAACCAACAGAAAGGAGAGCATTTCTCTCACGTTTTCTGAAGACTGTCTCTATCTGAATATTTACACTCCTGCCGACTTGACCAAGAGCAATAGGCTGCTAGTAAGCATGGGGACCACTGGTCCAGAATTGTGGGTTGCAACATCCGGCTGTTCTGTGCCACTGGAAGGGGATGAGGGAAGCTGCAGGCAGGAGTACTACAGATAAGAACTGAGTCACAGGCACAAAGAAGGCAGCCTTTGGTGGAGGTTGCTGTGCATCTGAGATACACATCTTAATTTTCCAAACCTTCTCACACTAAAAGTAATGTAACTAGTAACAATGCCCAATTTGAATTGTTATGATAAGAAATTGTTCTCCAGAGTAGGTGTAGGATAATTTTCATGAGACTCAAAGCTGAATGTAAAGAGAAAATTGAGCAGTCCATGTGATCCCTTTTAAAAAATATGAATAGATTTGATTTAATTATGTATTCAGTGTAGTCCCAATGCATAGGAGGCTTTGGTAGATATTGTTAGTGTGCAAAGAAAAGAAACTTCTTTGATCTTCAAGAATTTGCAATTTTATAAATATGACAATTAAGAAATGATTCATAATGACAGTCAGACTAACATGTTTCTAATGGTTTATTATAAATAAAACGTAATTTTCTCATTAGATTTGAAGATGTTTTCATAAGAGAAAGATTATTTAATTGGGCTATAAAATAAAATAGCATGCATTTTAAAATGCACAAGTGATTCCTAGGAGGACCATGGGAGTGAGATGTTAAAAAGTGTTTTGGAACTTTAGGGGATGGGCCGCTGATGCAGTCTACGAAGTACTTGAGGGCCTGAGTTTGATCCCAGCACCAAGCAGGAAGCAGGATGTAGTTGTGCATACTGGCAATCTCTGGGCAGGGAAAAAAGATGGGAAGGTCCCTAGAGCCCAGAGGTCACCAGCCCAGCAGAGGTGCTTAGTCCTAAGTCCTGCTGAAGAGACCATGCCTTAGACAATAATGAGGAGGGTACCTAAGACAGGACTTAAGTTTGACCACTGACCTCTGTGTGTTTACATTTGACATAAACATACACCTATATGTTTACACATTTGGACAGACACATACCTCTGCTGCAGAATGCCCTGCCTCCCTCTTATGAGTCTTCCATGCCAAGGACTCAGAAAGAGAAAACAAGCTCCAGAACCTCAGCTCTTTTGAGTCTTTCAGGCCTTTCCAGGATCCTGCTTTTGTCCAGTAGTCCAGCAACACGGCCTGTTATCACATGGAAAGTCTACTGCTCACAGAAGGCTAGGGATCCGTATATTCTCATGCTTTAAGAGCCACTGTGACATCCCAAAGCAAACTCCAGGGCAGGGTTCAGCCATCCTAATTCACCATGGATCATCTTTTTGGTGTTTGCAGTAAGTCAGTGTGGTTCCATTCAGAATAAATTCCCCCACAGAAAAGCTCTAGCAGTTCATTTCCTTTACAAACAAGTTAAATACAAGAGACAAAGTGAGGACAAATCTTCAATGAGCTAAGATAAGCTAGACCATCCCATCTGGTCCTGTCTTGCCAAGAGCACACAACCCCTTGGTATAGATATATTTCAGAAGCACCATATGCCTCTTTGCTGGTCAGAGCATTTATAGAAGTGTCACACCAGTACCCATAGATGTGCAGAGTACCCCTCGTCCCCAGAATTCCTGAGACTGGAACTGTGGTTTAAGTAACTATTCACGTGATCTCCATGCATGGTGAAATTTTGTTCTCTGTTCTTCATTGCTGTCAGGCTGACAGTCATGGTATTTAACATTTAAATCTCTTCAGTCCCTGCTATCAAATTCTGGTGTTTGAAGAAAGGATAGACTACATTAGATAGTTGAAATTTATGAAGACACGGATACTGAATGGATATTTGGAAAAGGTGATTTTCATTTTCCTCTGTCTCCAGTTGTATGGGTAGCCTTGTGAAATCATTTTATCCCTTAGTAATGATGACCTGGTGACCCTGTGGTTCTCAAAATTTTCAACTGTATAGGACTCTCTATGAATACTTAAGGACAGTTCACTTAAGACTTCTGTGGCATGAACACTGTTAACAGTGTATATTTGAGGTGAGAATTTTTCCTGTCTATGAACTGTTACATTCTAGTGCCTGTTCCTTAATGGTGCATGACAAAAATTGCATGCTATTTCATTGCCTTGTAAGAGCTACCCAAATGAGGCAGGAGAGATGGATTCAGCAGTTCATAGCATCTATTGTTCTTCCAGAAGACATGAATTAGGAGCCCAGGACCCATGTCAGAAGGCTCACGAATGCCTGTAACTCCCTCTCTAGGCATCTGAGTTTACTCATATAACCCTGCCCTTTACACATACACACACTCTAGAACAAAATGATCTATAAACAGATGTGTAGTTCCAAACAATTATACAGCGTGAAACAGAAGTCTTAACAGTGAAAATCCTCTTTGTAGTGTGGTCCTGAGTGAGAAAATTAGGATGTTTTCACTCAAAAGGAATGTTGAAATATTCAGGTGAAAAAAGCAAAATTTTGGCTAAAGCATAAAATGCATAGAGATATCCCAGTGCCTTCTACAACATGAGGAGTGCGTCTTCTTTAAGGTACTTTGTGTCATGTAAGGAATTGTATATATCACAAAGCTCCGTGCATTCTGATATAGAAACATGAGCTCTTCATATGATTAGTAATGTGATACACATCATGCATTTTTCTTAAGTCTCAAAACATCTTTCATGTGATCCCTTTTAAAAATATGTATTTATTTGTTGTTTTAGACTTCCGTGCACGGATACAATGTATTTTGTTGCATTCACACCCACTCACCCTTTGCAGTCCCCTCAAATCCTGTTCCATATCTTGCTCCATCTCATACATAATATGTATGAAAATTGCCCATCCATGTATTCACACCATCACCTGAACAAAAAGACTGTAACAAGTCATAGGTGGGAGAATTGGGAAGAGAATGTCCATTGCACTGAGTCAAATTAGTGCTGTTCATATGTTCAACCCATGTGATCGTTTCCATAAGGAGAAACTAAGCACTGGTGCAGGGAGCTAGGACAGGCAGTGCACAGACAGGGCGATAGTTTTGATCTTTAAAACTGTACTCTTTGATATTGACTACAAAGGGTGGTTGGAATGTCATCTTTCTACCTACAGTACCTGTGACAACTTTCATTAACCTCTAACAACAGTGTGAGAATAATATCCTGGGTGCAATCTCATAAACACTCTCCTTTGTCTTTTGTCAATAATCCTGGATTTTTTTTCTTTAGATTACTTCCATCAGTAATTGTCTTTAGTTAAGTGCTGAGCCAGCATTTGCCATGTAAATGAAAGGCCAGTGATGGGGCAAGCTGCCTTTCATAGACCAAAGTTGAGCAGAGCCTAACCTGGAAGGGGGAGAAGAGTGCCTGTGACTGTGTGATGGGCGCTGGTGTCCGTTTGGGTGATGCCTTCCTGAGCCACAACTTCAACGTCAGTGTCAACACTGAATGAACTCTATGGTCTTTCTCACCTTGCTGCCTACGACTTCTGCAGTTATATTCTCCTTGTCCAGGTGATGGTATGGATCCACGGAGGTGGACTGGTTGATGGGGCATCCACGTATGATGGACTGCCCCTCTCTGCTCATGAAAATGTGATTGTAGTGACCATTCAATTTCGCCTGGGCATCTGGGGCTTCTTCAGGTGAGATACCCAACATTGTAACTTACACATTAGCCCCTGCGTCAGTCTGTTCTCTCGTGCTGCAGCAAAAGGCGTGGGATGCATGACTGCATAGGATTCTAACTTACCTAGCTTTGAAATTGAGATGCTGAAAGCCCAAGATAGTGTGGCGTCATCAAATGAGCCATTTTCGGGGAGACTTTGGCTGCGTCACAACATGGTACATAAATAGAAATGGAAGCTGACCATTCAGACAGGTCACAGTTCACATGGTGGGACAAGTATCCTAAAGAGGGTACTAATGTTCCCTTCAGAAAATTAGCTCATTCTCTGGGAATCAATCAGGGTCACAAAAGAACTATATTAATTCCTTTTCAGGGCTGCATCTACAGTGACCAAATAACCTTCCACTGAGCCTCAACTTTCATAGGTTCCTTCACTGACTAATAATAATACTACAACATAGACCAAGAAATGGGAGCTGAACCTTTGGTGGGCAAACCATTTGCAAAGCCTAATGATCAATACAAGTCCTTGCTGCAACCCTAGTCAAATAACAGTGTGTCTAGACTAATATTATTATAACTATCTACTGTTATAGATTTACTATTTTGATACTACATCTGTTCGGCACAGGGCTCAATATGGTCTGTAAGACATACGAAGTCCTGTCATTCCTCTGCACAATGTTTCTGTGTTGCTTGTGATGATACAGAATCTTTGCCAATGCCCATAGCACCCGTTTCTCCTGCATCTCACACCATCTACACTCACGCCAGCTATACTCACATTTCTGTTCCTGTGGCCCTGAGGCCTTTATAACTATGTGTCTCCCTCTGCCAATACTTTCAAGACCCACATGCTCATTTTATTCAGACCTCTACTAAATTCCACTGCCTAATGGGGGTCTTTTCTGGCTATACGATCTGCAATACCATGCTACAGTCCCACCTTGCCACCCCATCTCCACTTTTAGACGTAATTTCATTTTTCCCACTAGATTTTCCTATATTCATTTCTTCTGTTGGTCTATGGACTTCACCTGGAGTCAGCTATAGTTAGAGATTTTTCTATTTGCAGATGAGCCTTAGCATTTAGACCTAAGTTGTGTGCATAGTGGGTGGTACCTGAGTGCCTAATACCTGGATGATGAGTGTAGGAACCACTATAGATCATCATTGTAGGAGGAGTGGCAGGGGAATGCTCCTATTGGTAATGTGGAGTCCAGCCTTATTTCAGAGAACACACTAAGAGACTTACCTCTGATGTTCAGAGCACAGTCATGGCATCTCTGCTCCAACTCACCATTGTCTTACAGCACAGAGGATGAGCACAGCTGAGGGAATTGGGGTCATTTGGACCAGGTAGCTGCATTGCACTGGGTCCAGGACAACATTGCCAATTTTGGAGGAGACCCAGGCTCTGTGACCATCTTTGGAGAGTCAGCGGGAGGTTTCAGTGTCTCTGTTCTTGTAAGTGATTCTAACTCGATAGAGCACCAGATAATCCAGATGAATGGCTGGCTTAAAAAGAGCACATGACAGGGGAACCCACAGACACAACTGGCCTGAGCATGTGGAAACCCATGGACTCCAGAACAACCTTAGGGAGACTGCATGGGACAGACCTAGGCCCTTTGCATGTGTGTGACAGTTATGTAGCTTGATATGTTCATAAGGCTCCTAGCAGTGAGATCAGGACCTGTCCCTGGCACTTAGCTGGCTTTTGGGAACCTGTTCGCTATGTTGGTTTACCTTGCCCAGCTCTGATTCAGAGGGAGGAGTTTGGTCCTGCCTTAACTTGATGTGCCATGCTTTGATCAAGCCCATGGGAAATCTGTTCCTTTCTTAATGGTGACAGAAGAGGATAGGAGGGGAGTAGATGGGTGTGGGGTGTGGGAAGAGAGGAGGGAGGGCAGACTGTGGTCAGTATGTAAAATAAATGAAAAATGTTGATTTAAAAAAAGAGCATGTGTGAACCAAGCTTGTGGAAACTTATGAACTTGAGGCCTACAACTGTGAAGACTCCAAGGGACCAAATCAGGCCCTCCACATGGGGGAGATAGTAGTGAAGTTTGGACTAGCTAAGTGTCCTGACCCGCAGGACATTCAATGTGGGTCTGGTGGACACCTAGGAGAAAGATGGAGGACAGGCAGTAGGAACATGATACAAACCTGGTACATGAGCTAACTTGTTGGAGCCCACTCCCTATGGTGCCATGCTGTACTCAGCCTTAATGCATGGAAGAGGGCCCTGGCACTGCCCCAACCTATTGTGACAGACTATGTTGACTCCTCATGGGAGCCCTTACCCTAGGGGTGGTCTAGGGGAAGGTGAGAGGGGATGGGAGGAGGTGAGGGAGTGGGAGGAGGTGTGGGAGGGAGAACTGTGGTTGGAATGTGAAATGAAATTAAAAAATAAAAAATAAATGGCAAAAAGAGCATTTGAACAGGGCAGGTAACTTACTGACTTCCACTGTGTGCATAAACTTTCTTCCTCTCAGGTGTTGTCTCCCCTGGCCAAGAACCTCTTCCACAGGGCCATTTCCCAGAGCAGTGTGGTCCTTAACCCTTGCCTGTTTGGAAGAGATGCCAGACCCGTAGCTGAGGTACGTGTCACCTGGGACAGCTCCTGAGCCTTTACTCTGTTCTCCGGGGATGTCAAGGGTCTTTCTTGCTATGAGATTCATCTGAGGAGCTCAAGGCTACCCTGAAGGAGAATGGCTGAGCGGGAAGGGCTACTGTTCTGAAGGACACACTACACTTCATGTGTAACACGTTACCTAGGCCTCCAGCCATTCTCCCATATTTTCGTGTATAGAAGACAGGGTCCTTCCTCCCCTGTGCATATCACCTGATCACTGCCCTCATTTGCAGGTGGAGAAAGTAAGGCACAAAGAGGTTGGGTGACTTGTCTCAGAAGACAATGTGTCAGAGTTGGGTTCTGAAACCACATAGTGAAATCCAAACAGCCTCTGCAACCACACTTGACTTTGAGAACACTAAGTCCTCCTTGTGTTCCTGGAGATAGAAATTGTATCCATTTGATCAGGCACCAGAGGCATAGAGATTGTATAACAAGAACCAGTCCATGTTCTGCTCAGTAACAGGGGTTGTTACACTCTGGGCCTCAGCTTCTAGATTTGCTGGTCTAGAATACTGTCAGCAGTCATGTGTTGCCTTAGGAATTAGGAAATGGAGGAGCCCACTATCTACATGGAAGGAGGGAAAGGATATGCTCTTGACCCCTGATGTCTTACAGAAAGTGGCTGTTCTTGCTGGCTGTAAAACCACCACCTCAGCTGCCATGGTTCACTGCCTGCGCCAGAAGACAGAGGAGGAGCTCTTGGAAATCACAAAGAAAATGGTAGGTGTGTCCATCCTAGTAACTCCCACCCTGTATAACTGGCTCAAGGTTTCATTTGTTCAACTATGCTCTGGTGTTATATCCCCTTAAACCATTTCTTTCCTCATAGAACTGTCAACCTTCTGTCTACATTGCTTTCTTGTTATGAAACACTTCAAATATTAAAAACTCCAATAATGACATGATTTGAAATCACGTGACAGATTCCCCTGCTTATCAAAGCATAATATTTTGAGAAATGCCATACTGTGTGAGGAGCTCAGCAGTGAGACATCCCAGACTGACTTACCCTGGAGCTGGGTTCTGTGAGGGATGCAGTTAATGATAAAAACCAGTGAGATGTCACAGTTCTCGAAGGTGGCAGTAGTCAAATGACCTGTCTGCCCATGGTAACTGTCTGGAGACAAGAACACTTTTCACTAGAGAGTAACTGACTCCTTCCTTATTTTCTAAGTGTGGTCTTCATGCCTCCCATAGGTAAGATGAGACAATTTTGGAAGCACCTATTACCTAGTAATCCCTATTCTTAACCACAATTGTATATGGTAGTGGATTGACCTTAAGAATGTACCACAGTTAAATGGAAAGCACCATAGTAGTTTGTTTGTGTGGGGATTTTACACTTAGAAAACCCAGCAATGCAATGATTTGTTTTAGGATCTACCTGTGTCAATGTTAGGCAGGAAGTAGTTGTAGATCAAGAATTTGACCTGAGTAAAATGAGGAGAATCTGTGTGCATGTGGTATGTTCATTCTCTCTGTGTTTTCATAACTTCCTGATCACATAACCTTTACATAATGTGTGGGGGCCACTGGATTGTGTACTCATTTTTAGCTAGTCTGATTGCTGCAGACACCTTACAAGTGGTGTAGATCAGGTTTACCATCATTGTGTTAATGCCATCATAGTTCTTTGGTATACATTGCTGTGTGTGGTGATGTGCTAAAATATGTTCTCATAAAACACCATAATATTTTAATGTTAGCATTTTCATGTTTTAAGAATACAGTGTTCCCTATTCCCATGTATAACTATCAATTTGAATTTTTGGAATGAGTAATGCAACAGAAGACATTTAAAGAAAGTGTCACAACGTATGTTGGTTGGTATAGAAAACAAATTTATGGGATACTGGTAGGACAGTTTTCTAGATTTCCAAAGATACTCAATTGAAGTTCTATGATTGCCATCAATCTCCCTACTAATTCATCTGTGAACTATCTGTTCATCTTAATAAGTGAATCATGTTCATCACCTTTATAATCAATCTAGTAGAGATCCACCTAAAACTTTGAATTAATCTCTTCCCAATCTATTCATCATCCATGAATCATTTGATCTCTACCTACATAGCTTCTTCCAGACCTCCAAAACAATAGTCTGTTCTATATCTACCTCTTATTTTTTGTCTGAATTTAGTGAATCTACCTAAATAAACACAGCTTGTATTGATTAGCTACATCTATACATCCATCGTCTGTCTGTGTGTCCATCCATGTATAGTCCAAACAGACGGGTGCTGAAGGGAGAAGATGAGGATATAAACTGAATGCTTTTCTGATCACAACAAAGAAATGCCCACTATGCAATGAGTTAAACTGAGAGTGCGGGATTTGGGGTTTTCTCACCTCGCATGAAAACAACCTTCAAGGAAAGAAATATTTTGTACAGAATTTTCATATAATCGAAATTCCCTGCAACATATGTCTTAGAATGTGTCTGGATCTAGATGCTCTGCATGAAAGTATGTCCGTTCCTTAACTTCCCATTCTTATTAGAGGGAGGGTGTGGGGACCTTCTCTGTAAATTAGTTAGCTTTCTTAGAAGGTTAAAAACCTTAGAATTCTAGACTAATACTCTATATGCTTTGGAGGCAACTGTACTAAACAATTCAGCAGTAATGCTAAAGGTCTGAGTTTTACCAAGATTTCTGACTTACATGAGGCAAACTGTAGAGAGGGGAGCAGAGAAGCCAACTGGGAAGTTGTATCACTTCATTAACCCAAGCAAGGCATCTGCTGTACAAAATACTCTGGGTCAAATGCAGCTCCTGAGGCAGGAGTGAAGAGGGAGAAAGGTACAGGTGAAATTGAGGGGGAAATGCTGTTCTGTTGCCCCTCCCAGCTGTATGTAGCCTTATCTTCACTCTTGGCACTATGTACTCCCTACATAGTGACCTAGTGACTGTACTCCGGGAGAGACATCAGGGTGGATGCTGATCTGGAAAGAACAGATGAGGGGAGAGGGGAAGAGATGGTGAGCATAGACAGAGGCCCTAGATGTCCTCCCCATGCTCTGAAGGCCGTGAGTGGGCCACAGGCCCTGTCTCTTTACTGCAACTGCCCCTCATCCTGCTGCATCCTATGCCCAGACCCTGAGGACTCACCATAGGGTCCTCTAATTCTGGGTACTGCCAGTGAAGAATCAGGAGAAAGAATCTAATATCTTAGGGCGAAACTCAAAGGATCCACTTTTGTCTGAGGGAAGTTCCTCACCCAGTTTCTCTGATGTTTTCTCCACAGAAATTTGGTGCTCTTGATTTTCTTGGGGACCCCAGACAGGTAAGGGCCTTTGCTTTCTGTATTACAAGCATTGGGTCTGACCAACACTTTCATATGTTTAAAAATTATTTTCTTAGGCTCCAAATTTCACTGTGACCTATTTTGGAGGTATATATTTAAACTAAGCTCCACTAAACCCCAAGCAAAGAACTGGCCTTTGTAGAAACCTATTGTTCCTTATGTGTATTCTGCTCAGGTCCAGTCACTTGTTTGAGTAATACAGCCGTGGCAACCAGAGACAGGATAGCCTGGTTCCAAAGTCAGTGCATCTGCTCAGCAACTGTGCCCCCTACAATCACCTATCGCCCTCCAGTGGACATCTCCTGCTTCTAATATGACACTGTGGGAAAAGGTTGTACCAGACCTTTCAAAGGGCAGAGATGACTGGCTAAGAGCCCAGGAGGCTTCACTGAAGAACACAGTTCTCGTGGGATGACAAAGGCCTAATGTGTGAGAGAGGAGCATGAGTGAGATCCCAGTGTTGAGGGTACTGCCCTTCTCCCAGCATCCATAATACTCTAGTGATACTCTGCTGCTGGAGTTTCTTGCCCACCAGGTCCCGCTGCTACTTCAGCACCAAATAAACGCACAGAGATGCTATATAAATTATCAAATGAGTTTAGCCGATAGCTAAGGCTTCTTGCTGGCTAGCTCTCTCTTAATTATTAACTCATAATTACTATTCTATGTATTTCTCCATGGCCTTATCTTACCCGAGAATGTCTGGCACATCCTACCTTCCAGGTCTCTACATGGCATCTCCTTGCAGTCTCTCTCTGCCTTCCTTTCCTAGAATTCTCCTCATCTCCTACTCCTGCCTATCTTCCTGCCTCTATTGACCAAACAGTGTTTTATTCATCAACCAATAGGAGAAACACACATATATACAAAAGGACATTCCCTATCAGTGTCCCTCCTCTCCCCCTGTCCTTCCACCTCCTAGCACTGACCAGGATCTGGTGACATTAGGTACGTACCATCTCCAGCCTTGACTTTTCTGTTCTCTCCCTGGGGAAATCCCTGTTCTTACTATGTAGAAGGAAGAGTTTAGGAGCAGGGACATGGAAATGAAATGCACAAGATTTTCTACTTTCTTAGAAACTTATCTTCTAGTTGGACATGGTATCAGGAAAATAAATCAGTAAATTACGTTGTGTATCTGGCAGTGAAACAGGAGAGAGAGAGTTGATGAGTGGTTTGTGTAAAGGGCATATTTATGTTATGGCTTGAAGGGTCAAGTCGTGCTGGAGGGAAATGAAGGCAACTATCTGAAACCTAGAAACATTTCCCTGTATCTGCAAAGGCCTGCTGCAGAAGGATAGTGTGTTTGAAGTAAAGGCAGTCAGCACAGACAGGCTTGAGTCTGGGGAGGTGGGAGAGGTATGACATGGGATTGGCTATCGAAAGACTCAGGTTGTAATTCAGCACGAGAGAGGGTATCCAGAAAGGCCAGATTGACACAGTTAGATGTATTGCGATAACAAACATCCCTTTGACTCTGTGTGGAAATAGGTTATAAAGAAAGGCAGGGGAGGCCCAGAGACCTGCTAGTGGCCACTGTGTGACTAGAGTGTAGGCAAAGGATTCTGGTGTATTAGCTCAGGCCATGACAGGATGGGAGCAATAAGCAGCAGGTGTGGCAGCAGGAGTCGCTTGAACTGCAAGCATGAAGTAGACAGTGTAAATTAAAAGTGACAAGGCTTTGAGCTCTCAAATTTCCCTGCAGTTGACATAATCCCTTCAGCAAGGACACAACTTTTAAAGCTTCCTAATAGCGTCACAAACTGGAGACAGAGTATTCAATTAGGGAGCACCTAAACCACACACACACAATTGTGCTTCATTTAAAAATTATAATATATGTATAATTGCATATTGTATACAATTTATAGACCTATGTAAAATTGCATATAATTTATTACACACACACACACACACACATCTTACTTTGCTTAAGACCAATATCCATTCCCTGCCAGTATTATTTCTGGCTCCCCTTGCACAGTTGTTTTCAGCAACTCATGGACTTGGCTCAGGTTAGGACTCTGACTTCCTGTGACTCATTTCCATGTGAGTCTTTGTGCTGACCAAGCATTGAGACAGATAGAAAGTGATTCTGATGTTACCTGGGGAAGGGTTATCACAGACATAGCATTTTTCTCTCCACTAGAGCTACACTTTCCTTCCCACTGTGATTGATGGAGTGCTGCTGCCAAAGGCACCAGAAGAGATCCTGGCTGAGAAGAGCTTCAACACTGTCCCCTACATGGTGGGCATCAACAAGCAAGAGTTTGGCTGGAGCATGCCAATGGTGAGAACATACACGTCTCTTAGTGGTACCCATGCAGCCTCAGACCATACAACCTACCTTTGTTCCTGTGCATTCATTCCAATCACAGTCTACAACCAGGCCAGAGAAACTTTCACCACTGTTGTATTTCCATGGAAACATTCTCCAGAATAGCCCAACTGTCCTCTGGGAACCCTGGAACACCTTTCCTCTAGAAACTAACTTTCCTTAAGGAATCCTAAAATTCCCAGGCTGGGAGAGTCTGTAGGGATGACAGTGATGCAGATGGACTGAGGGGCATCTAGGGAGCAGAAGGAGCTGGAGAATCAGGATGGAGCGCTGTAGCTTCCACCTTGGACCTGGACTGTCAGGTTGTGTAGATTTCCATGGGTGTTCTCGGTACTTCATTGTTCAGATCTGTAAAACTCACTTCAGACTGACTTAAAGTTGACTCTAGAAAGTAAGAAGGATGGGTATCTCTCCTCTCTTAAAGAAAGCTCAGACACTGACTAAACCAGTAAGATGCACATTATTTCAAAGAGTTTTGCAGTGAGTTCAGATTCCTGATGGAGATTTCAAGGCTGAGATAAGCTTTGAGAGACACTGTGGTAGCAGTGAGTCGGTGTCTCCAGTTACTGAATTTAATTCACACTCAATTACCAGGAACAGATTTCGTTTTCATCATGACAGGATGCAAAGATGTAAGCTGAAGTATGGGCCTCACCAAAGTGAGTTCTTCTTTCTCCATGGCAACCAAATAGGAGAACAGGGGTTATCTCTCCAAAAGTTCACAGTTTTAGAAGATTAAAGTGTTGCAAGCAAATTTTCTCTCTAGTTCTTGAGAAAATACTTACTGTTCCTACGGAAACTGTGTCTCACAGAACAGAGAAAGGATTGGTGATCACAAGAGATCTATCACTATGTCGACCTATCACTATGTTCAGGTTAGAGGCAGAGTAACTCCTGTTGAGTTTCCTGAACTTTCCCAGGCAGGCACTGAAGAGAGACTAGTGTCATGCAAGGGCTCTGGGATGGCCTTTAGCTGCTAGAAGCTGTACAAGAATAGGGTTAGGTTTCTTAGGACTGACATTTGGACCGGGTCTAGATGTACAGAAGTTGCTGCGGCTCTATCTGCAAAAGAATTGCAGAGGTCATCAATGAAACTCGGGCATATAGTTAACTTGACTTTAGTTTCCATAGATACCTGAGATGTAGGTCAGGCCTTGTATCCTCCCAGGATTTCCCACACCATTAGAGCCTGAATATCACTCATTCTCTGAAGGACTATTGTGAGTTTGTATGATATTAATTATATATACTATAGATGTGCTATATATAATAGCTAATAAACGTAATATATGTGATATGTGCATTCTCTTCAAACATGAAATTTCACATCTAACAAGGCCTGGTAAAGGACTTTCCTTCTATATTGGTTTGGTTTTCCCTGTTAATTCCACAATTCACAAATGTTAATCATTGCTTTTAACAGATGATAGGCTTTCCACTTTCTGAAGAAAAACTGGACCAGAAGAAGACCGCGTCCCTTCTTTGGCACTCTTACCCGATCCTTGTAAGAATTTAGAGAATTATGGGACTTGGCTGATAAACAAAGAATTATGGGTTCCTGCCTCCAAACACACCAACTCAGTGGCTAAAAGTATTTACATCTGTGTTTCTGCCCCTGTTTTCTGGTTTGCATACTTTAGTACAACAATAAAAACATCATTTGTCACTTGTTGCTTAAAAATTCCAGTATTTCCAGAACATGTTTTTGAGAAAAAGTTTCCTTTTGAAAGCTGGGAAAAGATGGAGGCTATCACCAGTGAAGATCAGTGTATCTAGGGCTTGGGGACCCAAGATTTCTGTAGGTAATTCTTGGGAGGCATGCAGACAGGTAGGCACCACAATATTTACAAATTTTGAGTGTGCTGCCTTCTGACACATAGGCTGCTACTTTCTGTAGGTCACTGGATGTTATGGGCTCTGATAAGCAAAAGAAAGGGTTACTGACAAGCAAATCTCATGAGCCATGTCTTCATCTGCTTTCCCAGAAATACTTTTCTCTGATCACTTTCTGGTCCATTTTAGAACATCTCTGAGAGTCTGATTCCAGCTGCCATTGAGAAGTATTTATCAGGGACAGACGACCCTATCAGAAAGAAAGACCTTCTCCTGGACTTCATGGGAGATGTGATGTTTGGTGCACCGTCTGTGATTGTGTCTCGTGGCCACAGAGGTGAGTCTCGTGTGTTATATGGGAGAAGCATACAGGTTCACCAGCTAGGCCTCTGAAAACCCTCACCTATGGAAATAGTCAGATATGAAATCTTCTGAGGGTCAGGCCTCAAAAACTGGTTCCCTATGACCTGCAATCTTCAGTTTGACTCCTGCCACTAAGAGTCTATGAGAAAAGTGTTCATAAGCAGTTTAATCTGGGAGAGAGAACACTATAGAGGGGTGAAGGAACGCTTAGAAAAGATAGAGGCCAACTTAGAAACATGTCTAGTATGTGAGCACCTTAGATAGTTGCAGCTTAGGGTTTTTCTTAGGGCTTTTCTCTCTCTCTCGGAAGCAAAAGAGCTGTATATGCTCACCTCTCATTGACCGAGAGCTCTTCCACAGGGATTGGTAGGTTTATGACATATTTGCCTGTTGTAAACAAGAGCACAATTGTTTCTAGTGACCAGAAAAGGACTCAGACAAGTCCTCTTGATGTTTTATGTAGCCATCAGGCTGGCCTGCCCAGAAACATAGGCAATTAGTAAGAAGGTATAATTGTTACTTTTCTCACTCCTTAACAACAAAAATATGGCCTCACCCTTCAGGGAAGGAGGCTTTACTTTTGTTCAGAGCCTCAGAATTTTCAGCCTGTGATGTTGGGAGAGTTTGAGCAGCTCACAGCATGGGGACATATAAGTATTGAAGCTGTGTGGAGCAGCAGACATGGTCACAAGTCATTTATGAGTATAGTCCCAATGACCTACTTTCTATAAACAGGTCACACTTCCCCATTGTGACTTCTACCCAATGGTGTGTTAGAACTTTGAACTCATCAACAGATAAAAATATTAGCCATAATAATCAAATTGTCTCTGGAAACACTCTCATAAACACAAAATTGCGACTTACTAGTTTTCTAAGCATTTCTTAATATAACCAAATTGCTGAGACCAACTATCAAAGGTACCAATCCCATCTGCCAAAACTGCTTCCTTGTGAGTTTGAGATGACTTTCCAGAGCTGTCTTCTAAAGCTGCAGCTATCTGTGAGAAACTGCGGGGGTGAAGAAAGTATGGAGAAATAGCACACTGAAATATTTTGAAAGAGAGAAACTTCCTATCATATCTTAAATTGCAAATTGATAAGTTACATTTGCCAACTGTTGGTGCACACATTTTATGCTTGCTATAAAGCGCCTAATAATTATATCAACTGATTAACACACACATTTCTTCAAATAATCAACATTTTCTACAGTAAAAAGACTTGAAATTTCATCTCATCTATTTTTAAATGTTTAATTTTTTTATTCATGTGTATGACAGTGTGGGTTGGAAGATTAGAAAGAGAAAGAATTCCTTCCCACCTGATATTTTTATTCCTCTTTTCCTTCATCTTCCTCGTTTCTTGACTTTCAACCTCTTAATGCCAAGTTTTGTCTGCATGCTTGTGAGTAAATCTAGATACCACAATGTATAGCAACACATGGCATTTATCTTTCTTTTTATTTAGTTTCCTTTTTAATTAATTTTTATTTAAATTAAAAATAATCTTATTTTACATATCAATCTCATTTCCCTTTCCCTCCAGTCCTCCTATTCCTTCACCAACACCCCATCCACTCCTCAGGGAGAGTGAGGCCTCCCATGAGGGATCATCAAAGTCTGACACATCATTTCGGGCAGGGCCTAGGCCCTCCCCCATGAATCTAGGCTGAGAGAGTATCCTTCCATAGGGAATGGGCTCTCAAAACCCATTCATGCACTAGGGATAAATACTGGTTCCACTGCCAGAGTCCCCATAGACTACCCAGGCCTCCCACCTGACACCCACATTCAAGGGACCTGGTTCGGTCCTGTGCTGTTTCCCCAGCCGTCAGACTGGAGTCCATGAACTTCCACTTGCTCAGGTCATCTGTTTCTTTGGGTTTCCCCAGAGTGGTCTTGACCCCTTTGCTCATCACTCCTCCCTCTCTACAACTGGGTTCCAGGAGTTTGGCTCAGTGCTTAGCTATGAATCTCTGCTTCTGCTTCCATCAGCTACTTGGTGAATGCTCTATGATGGCATTTAAGGAAGTCATAAATCTGAGTATAAGGAAAGGGCATTTAAGTTAGTCTTTCCACTGTTGCTTAGATTCTTAGTTGGGGTTATTCTTGTGGATCCCTGGAGATTTCCTTAGTGCTAGATTTCTCGTTAAGCCCATAATGGCTCCCTCCATTAAAATATCTCTTTTTAGCCAGGCGTTGGCGGCGCACGCCTTTAATCCCAGCACTCAGGGGCAGAGGCAGGCAGATCTCTGTGAGTTAGAGGCCAGCCTGGTCTACAAGAGCTAGTTCCAGGACAGCCTCCAAAACCACAGGGAAACCCTGTCTCGAAAAACCAAACAAACAATCTCTTTTTTTGCTCTCCTCCTCTGTTCTTCTCCCAACTGGACCTTCCTGATCCCTCATGTTCTCCTCCCCCCTCCCCTTGTTCCCTCCTCTTTCTCCTACCTCCCTCTCCCCTCTTTCCTGTGCCAGGCTCAAGGGCATTTATCTTTTTGTACTCAACTATTTAACATGTCTTAATGTTCTCCCATTCACCCCACACTGTAAAAGTAATAGTTTTCTTTTTAAGGCTAACCACAATTCCACTGTCTACACATCTGTGTTTTCCTTGTCCTCTGATGTTGATGGACACAGCTGATTGCAGTGCATGGTGCTGCAATGAAAATAGGGTGCAGACATCTCAGAAAACTGTTCCTGAATATTTATAGTAAACACCCAGTAGTGGCACGGCTGGGCCATATTGTGACTCTGCTCTCATTCTCTTAGGAGCCCTACATTCACCACAACCATAATTTAAAGGGTTCCCTTTTATATGCATGTTTGGTAAAAGTTTCTATTTTGTCTTCTCAATGAAATCTATTTGGATCATGGGAAAAGACCTACATCATGATTTTAATCAGGATATTTACAAATATCCAATAAAGAGATAAGAATTTTCATTTATCTATTTTTTCATTAGAATTTTTAATGTTTTAAATTGAAAAAAAAAAGGATTACATAACTTTCTCCCTCAGGTCTCTCCCTCCATCTCCTCCAAGATACTCTGCCAGATACTTGAACTACCTATGAATCATGAAAGCTAGCAGCATCATAAGATATGCATAAATGTGCATAAGTAGCACTAACATGTCAGTGGTAACCAACAATTGTCTAACTGGACTAAACTCTCAATCATCAGGAGTGAACTCATACCTAGTACTGCAAACCTAACCAGCTTCCAGGGGCTAGTAATATCAGGGACATCAGAAAAGAATCTACTATCTATTTTCATATATATGTCTTCAATTGCAAGATGCTACTTCAGGCATCTGGCCCCTTTTTATTTGCTTATTGCTACTGATTTTTTTAATTGCTCATATGGTTTTGAGTAGACACATGCCATATAGAAAGATTACAAATAGCTTTCTCTTCCAATGGCTGTCTCTGCACACTGCTATTGGTTTCTTTGCTGTGAAGAATTGTTTGGTTTAATATTATTCCATTTGTCTGTTTCACTTGTTCTTCATAGTGTTGATGTTAAATCAAAGCAACCATTTGCTGGTGTTCTTTTGTGATTTCTACTTGTGACGGGGGGTGCTCTGAACTTATATTTGTCTTCCCTACATTTTATTTTAACGTATGACTGTAGAAATCTGGTTTTCTCAATGTAATTAGCTGAAGAGACTGCTTTATCTTGTTGTATATTCTTGGCACCTTTGTAAAACAGTAGCCAGTACCTGCCTGTGTTCTGGTCTTCATTATATCCCATTGTTCAATGTGTGCACATGGGTAAAGCAACTATCACATTGTTTAGTAAGTGTGGACATAGAACAGAGTTTCAAATCAGGCAGTGTGATAGCTCCAGCTTTGTTCTTCTTACTCATGATCATCTTGGTGACACACTTTTTAGGTGGTTTTTCCTCTTTGTATGAGGAATTGGAATTTGAGCAGACATTTTATTAAACCAATAGATCACTGTGAGTACTCTGGACATTTTAAATTCAATCCTTTTACTCCACGATCAGGAGATGTCTTTGTATTCATGGTGTGTTCATTTTCTTTAATCTGTGTGTTGTAATTTTAAGCATTCACTGGCAGTACCACCTCGATTAAGTTTAGCTGTATATTTGACTGCCATCATTGTGTAGTTTCTCCAGGTGTCTATTGATTGTTCAAGATGTCTGTTGCTGGCATAGATGTAGTCCAGTTGACTGACGGACAACCCTTCAGGTCAAGGCAGCCAGAGCACTAAGAGAAGTTCCAACAGCAGCTAACGGTGGCTTAGAATGGTCCACCAATCCCCATCTTGACTAAGTTACAGAAAATTAACATCAGGAAGTTTGCATACAAAAGAATTAGAAAGAATGTGTCCCTAGCAGGAATAGTGAACTTAAAGATTTTTTTTACTTGCCCAGTGGTCCAAGGAGTACTGGGTCCCCTTAGCTGTCTCTGTTCCTTCTCTGTTATCATATTCTTGTGCATGTATTTGTTTGTAGTAGTTTCTTATGACAGGTTCTGTGTCTGCGGCCTCTGTTGTAGTGTTTCCTCTTTCATTTCTGGCTTTGAGTTTTCAAATTGATTTAGGTTCTCCCTCTTCTTCTGTGGTTAGTAGGCTTATCACTTTAGGGTGCTTTTTCTTACTTTCTTCTTAAAAAAAGAGACCAATTCATTTTTGTTCAACTTTCTTATTTTTTAAAATATAAAACTTCTTACTTTACCTTTGACTTCTTTATTCCTTTGAGCTTTATTTGAACATTGGTATGTACTTTTAGGTTTTAGGCTTTTTGAAAACTTCCCTCTCTTAATACAAGTGTTTACTGCTATAAGCTTTTCTTGTAGTTGCCCTCACTATAACCCATATGTGTTGGAATGTTGCACTGTTTTCCTAATTTAATTGTTCAGTTTTCATACACTGATACATACATAATGTCTATAACGCATTCTCAGTCCCTGCCCTTTTATCTCCCTCTGCCTCCAATCACTCCCCATTTGCTATATTGATTTCTTTTTTGTTTGCACTGTGTGCCACTGGGTTTACTTGGGGCCACCTGGGTCACATGACCATGGGTATGGAACTACCCAGCGGAGCCTGGTGGGCTCACCTGAGAGCAAACATCAGATGGTAATGACACCCTCTACCCAAGACTTCATCAGTAGCCAGGATTGGGTGTCCTTAGAAGTCCTAGGACACACAAGTGCTGTTGCTGTGAGTACACAATTACAATGGCTGTGTCATGCCCAGAAGATAGGATTTCACAGCCGTTCTCCCTGTTTCTGGACTCTTGAACGCTTTCTGCCACTTCTTGTACTATGTTCCCTGAACTTAGAGGGACAGGTACTTTATTCCTATTTGTTTTAATGTGTTATCGATTTTAATTTCTTTGGGATATCTGTTGTTCAGGAGCATGTTTCTTAGCCCTTGAATTTGAATTTTCAAAAATTACTCTTGTAGTTGATTTTTATTTACTTTTAGTATTGTAACAGTAGATTCTTGGTACAATATCAGTCTTCTCAAACTAAATGACTTGTTTGTTGGTCTTTTTATGACTCCTCAGTCTATGCTGGAGAAGGATGTGTGGGTGTTTTGGAAGAATGGGCATTTCATCAGCATTGGGTAGAATAGTCTTGTCATAGTTTACTTTCTGTTGCTATGTTAAATACCATGGCCAAAACCCCTTGGGAGGAAAGGATTGATTTCATCTTACATTTTCACATCATAGTTCATTATTAAAGGAAATCAGGGCAGGAGCTCAAGCAGAAACTTCAAGGCAGAAACTGAAGCAGAGACCATGCAGGTGTACTGCTTACCAGTTTACTCTCAATAACTTGCTCAACCCTCTTTCTTACACAACCCAGGACCACCATCCCGAATCACTATAGTTTGTGTCAAGCTGACAAAAACTTAGCCTATACAGTTCTGTATAATTGTGCTTAGTCTCCTTGTCTCAGTGTGTTATCAAGTCCCATACTGCTTGTGAATTTTCTTTCTGAATGATTCACCCATTATTATAAATATGTGTATTGTAGAGTCCTTATTGCTATGGCATTCCTTGGGCCCTATCTGTCAGTGCATAGCCTCCACTATTTGTTCCACATATATAGGAGCCCTGATGTTGGATCTGTATTTGCCATTGTTATGTGCTATGGGTGATTTTACCTTGTCATCAACATGATGTCTTTGTCTTTTTCTTCTGAAGGTCTCACACTGTAGTTCAGAATGGTCTAGAAATTACTGAAAGGTCTCAGATTCATAGCAATTCTTCTGTCTCAACTTCCAGAATTCTTTGAGTACGGTATGAGCCACCATTTCCAGCTCACTGTATTTTTTTATCTCAGACCATGTGGTTTAATATATCCATTGCTACCTTTCCTCATGTTTAGCTTTCCCTTCAAATTCCAGGCATTTTCCTCCCTTCTCTTCCAACTTTCATTTGCTTTAAGGTAAGCCTGTTGGCCTGGTATGTTTAAAAATTCATTCAATCCATCTTCTTCATTTCAGAATTTACATTAAAGATAATTTTTTCTTCAAAGACTTGTTACTGTTACATTGGTGATTCTATTATGATTCTTTTATAATTTTTGCCCTCATTTTTGTGCCTTTCCTTGTGGTTTTCTGCTGTTCTGAAGGTGTATGCCTTTAGTTTTTTCTAATTTGTGGTTATGTTTCTACTGAAGACTTTTGCTTTGTGTCTACCATAAATCCTACATCTACCATTGTACTTTTACAGGTATGTTATTTCTATTTGTGTCTGTGTGTTTGCTATGTACCCATGCCACCATGTTAATGTGAAGGTCAGAGTGGCAGTCAGTTATTCCATCTAGGAACTGAACTCAGGGCTTCAACCCTGAGCCATCTCACTTGCCCCTAGTATAATTCTAACAGCCCATAGTAAGCTGGTAAAAGTGTAACTTTGATAACATGTAAGGGTTTATGTCCAGATGATCCTGAAAGCTTCTTCAGATAACATGATTAGTTTATGACTCTACTTTTTAAGGAACACACACTTTATTATCTTTTATGTAAAAATTTATATCATTGGGTTACTGTTTATTTTAACTCTACTTGGGGAGTTGTCTGAGCTATAATCATTAGCATAATTTCCTGTTGACTCCTTGCACTATTTAGGATAAACTGTGTTCATGTCATCACTACGGTCCTAGAGTGTGTCACATGTGGCTCATTTTGCAGCACTGACTGTCATGTGTCTCATGTTAAGCATGCTCTCTTGAAGTTTCAATTTAAGGAACTGTCTTTAGCCATTCATGTAAGGCAGCACCAGGAGTGACATGACTGTAGCATTTGCTTGTCATGGAAAGTTGTTATTTCTTCCTTATTTTAAAGACTCCTTTTCTGAATGCACTGCTCTAGGCTGGCAATTCATTTCCTTCAGCACACTGGCAAGTCGGCCACGCTCCAGGGGAAGGCCATGCACCGAAGAATATTTGGGAAACACAGATTGGATTTGACTGGTTGGAAATATAAGGAAGTTGGGTGGATAGGAGGGGTGGGTCTGGGAGCACTTAGAAGAAGGAGTGAGTTTGAACAAAACAAATTGCACAAGGTTTTGAAGAACTAATAAAAATATAGACAAAAGCATTTGTTTCAAACAGAAAAGTTACAAAAATATCTTCTGCTGTGTGCTTTCTAAAATATGTTCTCATTCAAAAAGTTCTCTGCACAGTTCCCTTTCTAAAATGTCTGTACCACACGGGCAAGGTTAAACTATCTGTCCAGGAAGTTCTACTTGACTAGCAGCACTGTTTCATAGATGGAGTGTGGAGTCACAGCTTTGTGATAGAATTTGAGTTAATTCAATTATTCCTTATCCTGTATTATCATGACATATGTTGTTATCATCCACTTCTGTGGAGGGATATCTCATGGTCTAAAGTAATGACAATGTATTTAATGTAATATACACAAAATTACCTCAAATTCATGTATGAAATATGTGTGATAAAAGAGAATTATAAATGTATAGAATTGTATGTGTATATAAGCATTTATAAATATATAAGAATATATACAAATTTACTTATACAATATATGTCTTACGATAGAGTAGGAACGTTTTCTGGTACAATAACACATATTTCAGCATTTTTTAATGTTTCCACTATACCTAGTATGTGGGTATTTATTCCATTATTATGACCATTGTTTTGAGGCCCCCCAGGCTGGAGGTTTGTGGGCCAGTACATAAGGTGAAAGGATTGATACCTCCTTTGACTCTTACAAGCAAAACAGGGAAATGTTGACACTTGAACTGGTCATCTTTGTTGATGAATGAGAACCCAGTGGATACGAGGAGAGTGATTGAAGGAGACACGTTTACCTTGCCCTGGCACTTAGATTTCACCACCACTTATAAGACAACCAAATACTACTGTTTTGATAAAGGAACATAGCAGTAGAAATGAACCTTTGATGATATTCTGCTATACTCAGAGATAAGTGCCTTGTCTAGCCATCAATAAGTGGGAACAGATACAGAGACCACAGTTAGACAATGAACAGAGAGGGAGAGCCCTTGGAACATTCAATCACAAATGAGATGTTTCCATCAAATCCTTCACCTCAGGGATCCAAGACAGTTGTTAAAAGGAAGGCAGAAAATCCTGAGAGCCAGAAGGATGGAGGACACCAAGGAAGCAAGGCCTCCTAAACACAACAGATTTGGGGAACATTTAAACTCACAGAGACTGTGGCAGCACAGGGTCTGCACAGATCTGAGCCAGATGGAGTTGTAGTGCTCTGAGATCATATGGACATAGTCCCGCTTTTCCAGCCCAGAAGCTATCTCCAATTCACAACCAGTCACAAAGGAAAACTTAGTTTAGTCCAACAAAGTCTCACTCAGTATACAATCAACTCTTGAGGGCAGGCCCGATGCCCAGCCAAAGACAAAACTTACTCAATTTTGGAATTTTTTCCCTCATGTAATGTTTTGTCTGGACATTTTTGCTTATATATTATTACTTCTGATTTTGTGTTTTTATAGAATTTCTGTGTGTGAGTGTGTCTCTGTGCCTGTATGTGTTTCTTGTGCCTTTCCTTTGGTTCTTCTTTTTTCCTACTCATTTGTTTGTCCTGTCCTACTCTGGTTTGTTTGCTCATTTGCTTGTTTTCTAATGAGAGGGAGAAAGAGATGCTGTGTATGTGGCTTGGTGGGAAGGATCAGGGTGGAGTTGGAGGAGGGGAATCTGTGATCAGAATATATTTTCTGAAAGACATCTTTAAAAAAAGAACTTGCATTTAGCTAACAATGAAGTTGGAGATGAACTATCAATCTCCAGTTCTATGGTATTCATGAAACACAAGAAACAGATCATTCTATCTCAGCAAAGATTCTTATTTATGTGTCATCATTTCCTTTATTCTTCTCTGAAGAGCTGAGAAAAACCCTGGGAATACCAAGAACTAGGCTGGATGAAAAACATCTGGGAGGGTCTAGGTCTCGTAATCAGTGCACAGGGGTCCTGAGTGACACTCATCCCGTACAGTCACTGCATGTGTGGATCCATCCACTTTTCATTCAGTAAGCACCTTCTTCAAATCCTAGGTCCTCATCAGCCAGTTGTGCAGCCCTAAGCAAGTCACTGGGCCTTCCTAGATCTCTTCCGTATGAATCTGAAGAGTGGTTCCAACTGAAGGGCCTACGCATCGACACCATCCAGGTATGTGTCTGGAAATGGGAACTGTGCATGAATCCATGTCTTTTCAGATGCTGGAGCCCTCACCTACATGTATGAGTTCCAATATCGGCCAAGCTTTGTATCAGACATGAGACCCAAGACGGTGAAAGGAGACCATGGTGATGATCTCTTCTCTATATGGGGAGCCCCATTTTTAAAAGGTAATGTCTCTCTGTTGGCTTTCCCCTGGTGATCTGAGGCCTGGGTTTGGGTTTTGGCTTTATGGCCTTGAGGAAGTTTTTCCTTTTAAACTGGCTTTCCCAACTCTCTGTAACAGGGCTCAGCTATGGGTCAGTACCCAGCCTTTCTGCTTCTTCAGTACACATGATGGGTTTGTGTTACTGTGTTCCCAGCCATAGTCATTTTGATAATCCAGATCTGTACACCAATAAGAGAACTGGAAGGTCACTCACGTGCCCTATGTGATGACAAGAGTGCCAGCATTTGATTTTCCTCCCATAAACAGTAGAATAGAAGCAGGGAAAGAGAAAATTTTCTTAACTTGAATAAGGCTTATCATGTTCCTACCCATCTGGATATCTAATATATATCATAAATTTAAATGGGCTTAATGATATGATACTTAAGGAACCTTTTACAAAGGTCTTTAATACCTTATTTTCAACAACTACATATAATGTGTGACCTCTGACATGGCACACCAGTGTCTAGGAATATCCCATTTCTGATTGTTTTCAGATTCTATGAAAAGCTATATGTGTAGGATGTTGAGAACAAACCTAAGGGCCAGCAAACCTAAGGGCAAAACTGAGGAAATTGATTCTTGTTGCCACTGGACTCCAGGGGGGATGGATCCCAAGCAAGTTAGCATGAGAGATAAAGGCAGAGAGCATCTGGAATATTCCTCTAAAATATATATCAAAGGCACACTCACTCAGATCTTTTTAAAAGGCAGGTTTGGCGCAATGAGTATTCAATAAAGGGTGCATTTCTCACCCTCAAATATTAACCAGGCCTGACCCCATTTGTACCTCAGAAATCAGGGTAGATCAGATCTTTTCAGGCTGACGTGTTCCTAAACAAGACTAAATGCATTAAAGGTGTTCTATTTCTGCTGCTTCTGCTTAAGCACATCTTAAGTGGGTAATTTTTTATGACTTTTCACCACAGAGGGTGCTTCAGAAGAGGAGATCAATCTCAGCAGGATGGTGATGAAATTCTGGGGCAACTTTGCTCGGAATGGGTGAGTCTGGTGGCAAAGATGCCAGACCTGAAGGTGTGGTGCAGTGGGTCATACCTATTAGGAAGGAGAACTTTTCTAGTGATTGAGTGATCATCCTTCTGCCCCTGTAACCGTAGCATTCCAACAATGAGAACTGGGTTAATATGGTGTGTCGTTGTGATGAGATTTGTGTGATACTTCAGCTTGAGTTGAGAATGTGAACTTTGACTCAGACTGAGAGATTTCAAGTTTTGTCTATTAACTCTTGTGTCGGAACAGAACATCAAGTGGGGAGCCTATGTTAGGTCGATGTTCCTTACCTCCTGTTGCTTGTAAAGTGGAAGTAGGACCAGGATCCTAACCCAATCCTCAGAGGCAAGTCTCCCATGATCATCGTCCTCCAACAAGCCTTTCTTTATTGCTTTCTGCCATGTCCCAGTGGAACCATCAGGTGGGGATCAAGGCATCAGTCCATGAGGGGGTAATATTAAATTCTAAATTATAACTTGTCCATGACATTAGAAGCTTATGTTCTTCTCAAAATCTCATCACAGCAGATTCACAACTTCTTACCACTTTTAATATTGCTTTGACCTCAAAGTCCAAACACTTTCCAGTCTCAGGTAAACTGTTGCTATAAGAACCCACTCAAACAAAGAAATAACAGATTCCAAGATGTCAAACATTCCTATTCTAAAGAGAGGAACAGGAAAATAGCAATGAGAAATCAAGCCAAAGCCAAGTCCAGCATCCAAAAGAGAGAAGAATTTAAATCCTAAACCTCCTTTTCAAACATCCAGGAATCTGTTGACTGACATGTGTTCTGAAAAGCTTGGAAATGCATTTTCCTAAGGTCTTGCTGCCTGCACCCTCTTGGGTGAATAAAATAATGCCCATATTAATATTAATATATGGGCATAAAATATGTCCCATAGGCTCATATACTTGAGTGCTTAGTCACCAAAAAATGGAACTCTTTGCTTGGATTAGAAGGATTTGGAGGTGTGTTCTTATGGGAGGAAGTGTGGATCAGGATGCAGCTTTTCACCTACCACGCTGGTGCTATGCATGCTGCCATGCTATTGCAATCGGAATAGACCAAACCTCTGAAACTGTAAACAAGGCCCCAAATTAAATGCTTTCTTTCATAAGAGTTGATTGGCCATGGTGTCTCTTCACAGCAATAGAACAATGACTAAGACAGACTTGCACTATTCATAACCTGGATGTTTCCTAGGCAGATGCTCCAAGTTATTTCTAACTCACTAGGGTCTCCATCAAAAATGTCACTTTACTCTAACAGCTTCATGCATCATGCTCTTAGGCTTGCTACCTGGGACATCAAACCACACACTTGATGGCTTCACATGCTTTCATTTGAAATCTAGGTAGGAACCTGATGACCCCATAAGCCTTGGATTTCACATGTCTGCAAAACCAGTGCCATGGGATAATGCCAAGATATAACTGTAACTTGAGACACAGTTAGATGCCGTGGGCTATTGGCTGTAACACAGGTAAATAAGCCCTAAAGAATCAATTTTTACACCATACTGTAAACAAAGAGATACTTAATGCTAATACTTCAAGCAATGTCTCAAAACAAGTGATAGCCTTGTGATAGACCATCTTGCAGTTTCCTGAGACATCCTCAGATAACTCCCTTTTTTATCTTTTAGAAAACTTGTATCTTCCTATGTCACTGATGTTTATTATGAAAAATTAAGTCTTTCAAGTCTTTATGCTTTGATTTTTCCCTTTAATCTCCCTGTAAATGTAATCAAAATCAACAATAAAATACCCTGACATTGCCTGGAAAACTGTGACACCTTTGAACAAGTCCGTCAGTTACACAGTCCCCCATCTCTGAAATCAGCCTATCAAAAAAAGCTTGCATCATGGACAAATGTAGACAGAATGAACACTAATTATCTCTAGTCAAATTCCTCACAGAGGCCCCATTCCCATCTGAAATGTTATAGTCTTGGCCTTTTTGACTGAGCTCAGGGCCAAAGAACCTGCAGAGAGACCAACCCAGAGGGAACATGTTGAGCTTTGATCAGGAGGCACAGCCATGTTTGAAAGCCTGGATCCAAGAAAAGGGATATGCCACAGAAGCTGTTGCCAAAAAAAAGCATCTTATTGTTGAGGACAGAGAATCACGTGGCATGCCATGCAGTAGGGAAATCACTGTACAATCACAGTAAGGAGAAATGTTTGATTTTATGCTTTCAAATTTTTTTTTGCTTTTTGTTTTTGATTTTGGTTTGTTTTTGTTTTGGTTTTTTGAGATAGGGTTGGAGCTGTCCTGAAACTCATTCTCTAGACCAGGCTGGCCTCTAACTCACAGAGATCTGCCTATCTCTGCTGGGATTAAAGGCATTTGTCACTGCTCTCATATTTTAACAACACAGAACCATTCCCCAGGAAATCAAGCCAGAGTCTGTGTCTTTGTCTCAAGATGAATCTATGGGCATTCAGAAGTGACATATGGAGAGAGATCCAGTGTCATGAGATGTCACCTCCACAGGGGATGGATGGATGATTGACTGTTCTGCTGTCTAAACCAAAGGAGCATGCTGTGGAAGAGATGGGATTTTTGTTGTGCCACTTTTTCCTGGGTATACACAAACAAGGTCCACTCATCCCAGAGAGTGCAGGAATGAATGACAGCAGAAAAATGATTCCACCAAAGTGGTCACTTACAAAATTAAGAACAATTTGCACACCAGTAAGACACATTGGAATGAAATATACACTACCATTCCAAAATGCTAGATTTGGGGCCCATAGAATAGGAATGTGGATAAAAGAAGATTGAAAGACAGCAGGGCAAACATTAGGTCCTTTATAATCATGACCTACACCCATGGCATATAATGTTCATATGAGAGCACCAGAAGACTAGAATCTACACTATAAGCCTGCCAGTTGTGGTATATATGACCTTTCTAAACTGGCCCTGCTCACTGTCTATAGCTGTCCTCTGTATTAGTTTCTTTTCTAACCTCCTACAGTCTCTGTAGCAACTCAAGCTTTACCCTCATCACATCATCCATGGCCTTCATATAGGCTGCTGATGGTTATTTGGACTGTGTCTGCTTTTCCTATGGAACCCATGTGAAGACTTCCATGAACAAGCAGTTTGAATTATGTGCCTACAGAAACAGCATCATGGATGATGGCAAAGTCTGATCCCAAATGGTAGACTACACAGGCCCTTAGAATGCAGTTGTAGGAGCCACTTTGGGTCTAGGTGTTAGAATGCAGGGAAACTCTACTATGTGATAGGACACCATGGAGAATTTTCTTCTCAAAGTAAATGTTTATGTTCTTGAGAGCAATGAATAGTAACTAAATAACTTCTGTGATGCACAAGGTATTTGTCCTTTTCAGATGAAAATTTGTGGCTTATTTTTAGGATTTTAATCTGGCCATATACCACAGTTTCCTTGTCTCCAACATCAAATGAGTTTTTGCCAGCAAACTGCACTTCTTATTGTACATTGATGCTTAGTTTCACTGCAAGCCTAGCTACCAGCATCTACCAATAACCAGCCAGGCATGAATGCTGTTCTGTTGGAAGTTTCCATCACCAGCTTTATCAACGCCCCCCCCCTTTTAAATTCAGTAAAGTCTCATACTGTGAACACAGTGTAGACAACTTCCTTGCCAATAATTAATACGTAAAATAATTAATTAAAAAGTAACCTCTCCTAGGCATTTCCAATGTGTTAATATTAAAACACGGCACGAACTGACTTTTTAGCCTAGATACACGGGGGAGGGCCTAGGCCCTACCCCAAATGACTTGACAAATTTTGATTATCCCACATGGAAAGCCTCACCCTCCCTGGAGAGTGGATGGGGATGGGATGGGGGGTTCAGAAGGGGGGGAATGGGAGGATGGGAGGATGGGAAGGAGAAGGAAGTGGGATTGATATGTAAAATAAGATTGTTTCTAATTTAAGTAAAATTTATTTAAAAAGAACATGGCATTATTTACAGAGTTCCCACTCTGCAACTAGGCTATTAGGTTATCAAGACCCAACAACACCTCCCCCCAAAAAACCATCAAAAATCTCATAATGCCTTAAGAAAGTGTAAAATTTTGTTGTGCCACATTCACAGTTATCCTCTGCTAGACACCTGTGTCTTGGGCAGTTTGAGGGTCCCCTGGCAGTGGGACCAGGGTCTATCCCTAGTATGATGCAGTAGAGTGTGTTTGGTAGTACCTCAACTTAATATGTCAGGCTTTGTTGACTCCCCATGGGAGGACTTACCCTTTCTGAGCAGTGAATAAGGATGGTTTGGCTGGAAGAGTTGGGGGAGGGAGAGGAGAAGAGGCAGGAGGAACTGTGGTTGTCATGTAAAACGAAAAAAAATTTTTTGAAAAGCTCCTAGAAGGTGCAAACACAATACAAACTCCATCTAAAGAGCTGAATGTCAGCACAAGGCTTTTTCTGAAGTCCTCGGAGACAATGACACTGATGATGACCCTTGTTGCCAAAGTGGCTGTCACAGTGACGGACAAAGTGGGCACACTTTACTAAATGACTATCAGTGATTCCATTTCTATACCAAATGTTTTATTTTTGGATATGTTCTTTTGTGAATAAGACATCATTTTATATATAATGGTTTTACCAGTATTTTGGTTTTAGGAACAATGATGCATTTCCAATGCCATTCTCCAATTTATTGTAATTAATATATCTCTTTCATTTATGGGAATAGTATTAAAGCTCCTTATTGAAGTAACATGCTACAGTTAAAAGACTCAATGCATTAACAGAACACTAATAGTGCAAATGGTGTGTTCATCAGAATCAACCATTAAGTAAAAACAGAGGGAGAGAGATCCTTAAAGAATACTGGCTTTTATTTGGGATTACACATGGGACATTGTGATGTAGAATAAGAATATAAAAATGCCATGGTGAAGGCTGGCTAAGGCAAACTGAATGGCACAACCAACCAGATTGTTGTTAAAATGTGTTTTTTGAAACCCTATTCATTGACTACAAGGATCAGTAACAGGAGCTCAAACTGGTCCAAGTTTGAGTGGATATTCCCATTCTCTTGAAAGTGATTTTTGCATGTAACTGTGGGTTTTGCACAAGGCTGTTGTTTTGACAGACTCATTTGCAATGCTTTTTAGTACCAGGTAAAAATGAACTTCATTCCCTTCTTAAAATTCCACTGACTTTACTTTGTGTTAGGGCTTGACACAGTGACTGAATTTGGATATAGGTAGCTTTTTCACAATGACCCCAATGTGACAATATGAGAAAAGTGGAGATTCCAGAAGCATGGCAATATACTCTGCGCTGGAAGATGTTATAGTACTCTAGACTCAATGAGTGACAAACCAGAGTTGGGGGTGTATGAAGTGGTGTGTTCCCCATAGCTCTGACCTCATACCATATTTTCAGAAAAGGTCTGCAAAGGCATATGGTAGATCCCTGTGTCTTTCAACTTTCCAGGCTAGTGTTCTCCACGTGGCCTACCCCTGATTAGTCCCAGGCCTTGTAAGTAAAGCTAAATGTAGGATGTAGTGGGATATGACTTGCTCACACCTTGAGCTTTAGTCATATGTGTGCACCACTAATATGATGGATAAATTAATGGGTAGAGGGAGGCTTATAGAGTTAATCTACAGGCAGCAAGGATAGCTACTTTGCCATGTAATGCCAACTTTTTGAAGCTTAAGACCACTTCCTAGAATTTTATTCATCATGTCACCATATTCAGAAAGATTCCACATAGAAATCTCTAGGGAAAAGCATATCCATCACCTGACACATAAGTATAAAGATGTGACACCTACAGCTATAGTGACATAGGGGAAGTAGACTTGTTAGCAGTCTGCCCTGAGGTCTTCTCGGAGGCTTTATAGGCTCCAGATTCACCATCTCTTCTATAAGGTCACTGGGCCAGCAACTGCTTCAGAGGCTACAACCAGGTTCAAAAAAGTTCCATGTGTGGCTTCTTGCTTAATAAGTGTTCTAGTGGTTCAACAGTGAACTGGAAATAATTCACTCTTCTTAGTTCTAAAGTCCTGTTTTATGTATGTTGATTGCTGTTTTCTTGAAAATGTGCCACACAATTTCATGAACT